TCGCGTTAATGAGTCAGAAATAGTTCAACATTTGTTAATTGGTAACAGTAGGTGTAGTATTCAATTTGAGAAAAGTTTAATTTTTGATAGGGAAGAAAATAAACATCGTAGAAAAGTATTAGAGGCAGTTTATTCAATAGCAAATAAATCATATAATAATAAATGAATGATATGTAATCAGTGGAAAGCTAGTATCAGTAAATGGATAGGGGAAAAATCATGTAGTCTTTTTAGAGCAAAAACAATAAATTTAAATAATAATAGTCATTATAATAGTCAAATAAATAGTCATAATATAGTTAGTCAACAATTAGTTTTAGGATTACAACAAAAAGGCAAATGTAGTTTAAGAGCACAACCACGAGCTAAATATAAATTTTATGTTGTTTTTTGACAATTGTACTTATTATTTAATTTTCACCTTTTGTACAACCGTTATTTCATCTATTCACCACAATGTCAGTCAACATGATATTTTAACTGCTCATCTTTATGCATATTCAATTGTAACTTCAGAATCATCACCTTATCATCTTTTACTGTACTTATTATTTATTTCTCACATTTCTTTTTGGGACGTATGTCATGTCTCTCGGGTTTCTGGATTTCAATAAATGTAATTTCCAAACATCATCCTTTTATACATCTGTATTTGCAGCTGTTGAACATCTTTCACGCACATTTTTAATGAGCTCTTGTATATAGTGTGTTCTTTTATGTAATTACTTGTTATACATATAATTTGTACTACTTGAGAAAGAGTCGGTTTAGACTTCGGAACGTTTAACAGTTGTAAATAAATTTATAAAATAAAATAAAATTCTACGAGGAAAACGAAATTAAAGTTAAGTATGCTTAAAAGTAAATAAGGACAGATGGTCCAATAGTCCAATTACCATATAGAAACATTTAATTAATTGTTTCTTAAAAATAAGAACGGAGAAAACATATTTGTATAATCCGCAACAATTATAGAAAATCATGATTAATCATAACTAAATTATAAATAAATAACTTTAGTATTGACCGTTAGTTTCTGACACGTTCGGAGAGTGTTACTAACAATTTCGATTTATTTTTAATTAAACAATCAACATCTTTACAGCAAAAGGCATAGGTAGATACATGTAGACAATTATCGAGGCAAACATTAAAGATTCTTTTTCTTGTCAATAGTATTTATTATTGATTTAACGATTGAATCCATTTTGTGTTCGAAAAAAAGCTTTCTGTCGTGATAATGTGACCGTAAAATACGTTGGTCTGTTTTGTTCAAACTAGTTTATTTTAATCTCTAATTAACCGTATACTTCGAAGTATCCTCTACAAACTGGGAACGAATGAAGAAAAAATTCAAAACTTGAAAATATCGCTAGTTTTGGGCTCAGCGAAGATTTTTTCACCTCACCTTACGGTTAGTTTCGCTCGAAGCAAGCATTTCGAAGCAAACTCTGGATTCAAAAGTTGTTCAAAATTGAATTCCAGAGTCCCTCACGAGAGATTTTTCCAAATTCTCTGTTTTTGGTATGTAAATTAAATTTTTAAAATTTTAAAATTTCATATTTTTCAATTTAAAAATTAAAAAAACTCTTGTGAGGGACTCCGAAATTCGATTCTGAACAACTTTTGTATTCAGAGTTTTGCTTCGAAATGCTTGCTTCGAGCAAAACTAGCCGTAAACTTTTCGCTCTAAAATTTCCTCGGGAAGGTGAAAGTTAAATTTCTGCGTCAAACTTCATTCGGGAACAATGAAAAGTTTTTCTCCTTATACAAGTTAATGTTCTCTATCGAACTACGTCAGAATTAACTTTTCATATGAAAAATTGAAGGTTTTATTGAAATTTTAAAAATAGGCAGAAAACCCGAAAAAAACTTCAAAATTGTTTTAATCAAAAACCACAAATCCGGGAACCGCAAGCTTTGCTGAGACATATACTTCGAAGTGTCCTCTACAAACTGGTGAAAAAAAACGGGTGGGACGACTCCGTCCCATAAGTGGTAGAAACAGGGCATATATTGCGTATTTTCTAATGGATCAACTAACATCTTCTATCATTTGGCCATCTATAGTTCTTTGAATTGTTACCAATTCTTTAGTATCGATGTATTGTACTGTTGTATGTTTCGATCGATTATTTACTGGTATTTGGATTTCCATAGTTCGGTGATTTTTATTATTTGTGAGACCATTAGACAATAGCGACAGCTTATGTTTTCGACGATTTTTAACAGGTACAATTACGGTAACAGAATATCGTTGTACACAATCATTATCAATTAAATTTTTCTTATTTAAAGAAAAATTGTATAATGAGTCATAGGGGAAAGATTTGAGATCATTTGAATTCACTTGAATACCAACGTTTTTCGACCCGTTACGACGGCTTCGATATTGATAATAAGGAATCGAATAATATTGTGATTTATCCCATATAGTGTTACCACTCATCGATCGACGATTGAGTAAACGATTAACACGAAGACTGCTACTTGGTGTTATAGTTAATGATTTTTTATAGCTATTATCTGTCTTCATTGATGTTAATGATGCATATCGTAAACGTTTATCATGATCATAGAATCTATTTGTGCGCGGACTATTATAAAATAAATCATCAAAACTGTTTGTTTTTGTTAATAAAACTCGTTCATCATATCCATTCGCAATTCTCATCAATTCTATTTGTTGTTGTTGTTCATAACCCCATTGAACGTTTGCGTCACGAACAAGAATATGTTGTTCTCCTTGATTAGCGGCTCCTATGAAAAAAGAACTTGAATAGTTTTAATCATTGCAATATTTTAAAACTTGCTGATACCTTGCGGAATAATAATCATTTTACACATGAGTGGTAATCGTGTTGAATCTCCATCAATATCAATTGTCACCATTTCAGCAAAATCAAAATGTTGTTTATTTCTACCAATACATGGTACTTCCATTTGATCAGTGAACAATGTTCGTTCATATTGATTATCTTGTTTGAGAGACGAATATCCATCGGTAAAAATGACTTTACTATACGATGAAGTAAGTAATTTAGTTACATCCAATTTTAATGGTATAGTTGTTAATGCACGTTGTCTTTTCTTTGGTTCATTGTATTTTAGTGATGCGTACAAATCGAAAGAATCATTCATTGTTAACGAGTCTAGTATACCTTGAATACGAATTACTATATTGTTGTTGAATTGAGACAAATATTTTCTAATTTTCACATCCTACGTTCTTTTTCTAAAAAGAGAAATACAATCTATAAGACAAAAGTTCATTATCAACAACCTAACAAAAAAGGAGTTATCGTTGTTCGTACATAATATATTTTGGGCGAACTGACTGGAACAGAACAACGAAGATATAACTCACGAGCGAATCTTCCCAAGCGTTCAAAATCTTTTCTACTTAAAGTTAGTTTTTCTAGCTGGAAACAACTCTTGATGCTGATCATGAATCGGATATTTGTTTGTGCTTTAATTAAGTTTCTGAGACTCTTAGAAGTCTGGTCTCTCTAGAGACCCATTCTAACTCTGAGAATCAAGAGGGTCTGATCTCGCCAGTTTGTAGAGCTCATCGAGTGGACTCTATGAACATGTTTTAGAACTATCAAAGAACTTTTAATTGTATTAGAGCAGGTTTACTATCAAAAAATTTGAAAAAGTCAGATATTTTGCTATACTTCCAATCAATATTTTTCGAACCCAATTAAAACTTGTTCAATAGTTAGTTCTAAAACTTTTCTATTTTGTACTAATTTGAAAACAAGATTTTCAATATTGTTAGAGTATCGTCACCATAAAAAGGATGATGTTCATTTTTGAGAAATTAAATTATATATCATGTTTTAGACATTATCTCGACATGTTTCTAATCACAGAAAAACAATTCTATTGGGTTTTCTCATCTTATCCACTCTGCTGCTTTTTTGACCTGGGGAAATTCTCCATATTATTGTACTATTAATAAATTAATAGAAATAGAGACTCATAAATGTTCAGCATTATAATAATGTACAGAGAAATTGGTTAATAAATATTAGTTAGAGGCTTTACATTCCAGTCAGTCATTCTCTTGTTTAATACTCATCTCAAAATAAATGATAGATTCGATTCGAGAACAAAGAAAATTGAACCATGTCTAATTTCTTATACACTATGATAATTTTACGAGGTGTGTATGTTTCTACTGTCACACATATAATAGTTTCCGTGAACAACTGATGACAATATCGAATCCATACGTGCAAAAAGTCAATTGTTTATTGATTTTTAAAAATTCTCTATCTAATCATGATCATCAATAACAACAATATCATCCACAATATTGCAAAGACGTTTTTTATTCTTTTTTAAAAATGTCAACTAATCTAACTGAGACACATCAAATTTCTCTTTTGTTTTATTCGATTTAATAATATTATTCATTATAAATTTCTACTTTCTATATAGAAATACGTTTTTGTTTTGTTTTGGATCATCAGCAACATATGTTTGAGATATTACAAACGAAAATGAAAGTACTAAAAGTGAACAACAAAAATGAGACAGTGAGAGAATGTTTACTCCTTAAATATTACAGACGCGCCTTTTTTCCTTAATATTTGACTGTACTCATTCTGTAGATCAAACACTCCTTTTTAATCCTCGAAAGGAGAACATTTTTTTACTTCTCTCATTCACTGGCTTTTCAGCTGTTTTAAAGGTAATACTGGTAAGTCTTACAGAAAACCAATTTTCAAAAACTATCAAAATTCTATGATCATGTGACTTAAAATATACCAGTCATAGTCAGTGTTTCATGTTCTTTCCAATGGTGTCATTGAAAATTATTTCAGTCCATTCATACGCATTCACGAAAGAAAAAGATTGGATGGTTCTATAATTTTTCACAGGGAAAACTGATGCTTTCTTGAAAAAATATTGTTTCAAAGAAATAAAGAACTTGTTAAACAATTCTAAGGTTCTAAGGACATATTCAGAAAGATGATACTCAAATACACATGTTTACACATTTTGCTTCTTTTCTAGACTTTGTTTACCAAGAGAAAAATGAAAGAGTAAAAGGTAGTATCGATCTGATCCTATAATTTTTCATAGTACGGTATTTGTAAAAAAAATGTTATTGTTTAATAAATAGTTTTTAAGTTTTATTTTTGTACAGTTTTCTTTAATACACGTATTATCAGATATACATAACAAATCTATCTTTGCCACAAAGAAAGAAGCATTCGTTTTCTTTGGGAAAGCGACAATTGGTAGAACGACAACTGGGCTCTTCGACAATTAGTCACCGAATTGGTCGCATGCTTAACATTAACTAAAAAAGAATTTTGGTTAATATGCCGCCTTATGGGCTTATCAAGGAATCAAAGTATTTAACGTACCGTCAAAGTCGCAATTAGTTTAGAAAGGAAAGAGCAACTGATCAAAAGGCATGAAATGGGTACTAAGTAGATAATCCGACTGCTCAACCGTATGTATGGTCGATCAGTAGAAGAAAAATCACCATTTAATTTTTCTCAAATCTTGTCTGCTATAACTAACTATTACTACAACTGAACGAAATAAACCATTATTGATGTTCAACGGCTTTAAGTACACAGTCGATAAAACCGCCAATGAAAAAACGTTTTGGAAATGTGAACATTGTGGAACAATAAAGCGTCAACCGACATTTGAGCGATCCCAACGTTAGACACTTTTCAATATGATTTTTTTTCCGGTCAGGAAAAAAGGGTGAGGGAGTGAGTTTCTTACCACCCTTACCACTTTTCCCAGGTATCAGTTTAAATGATATCGGTAATACATGTTCACGATAACTAGCATGAATTACGACTATTGAAATAAATTTCTGGTACAACTTCAAACATTCCATCAAAGAAGAAATCCTACAAAACAGATTTGTTTGATTCTGTTGTGATTCTCCTTCTAATCGTTCATAGTACTGCCGAACGTAGAAATGTTTCTAGCGAGCAACTGTCCTGTTTCCCTTCAAACTATCAATTTGCGGTAATATCGGGGTTGCTCAAGTGTCGGCGCTTAAATGTCGGTCACTCAAACATCGATTAATCACAATAAAGTGTAAAGGAAGAATTTGTACAGATGTCTTGGAATGTTCTGTTGCTTGTGTTGTTGACATATGTCCTTCCTTTTTTCTCCCTTATTTATTAATTATAATACTCCTTTGGTATTTAATGTTGAGCATGCGACCAACTCTGCCGTGCGATTAATTGTCGTGGAGGCCAGTTATCGCAGCGCCCAGTTGTCTCTGACCAATTGTCCTTCAACCAAGTGTCATGCGACCAGTTATCGTAGAATCGTTTGTAAGCCGTCAAAAAATGGTATCATGCAGAATTCTACTTCGAAGCAAAAAAGGGAAAATAAATGTTCCTACAAATTCTTATACCTTGAGATGGTATAAGAATGGTCGTATATTAAATATTTCTATATTATCTTTCATTTAAGATATTGTACTAAAAGAACATAACTGTTGTCAAATTAGAGAAATTCACTCACAGTTGTTTTAAGTTTCATTCATGTGAGATGTTGTCACATTGATTTTGCATTAGTAGATTTTATGAACTTGATGACGACGTTATACATGATTTTCGATTGTCTATGCTAGGATCAGAAAATATTTTGCATTTTTACAGAATATAACTATATTTTTTATATGCTTTTTAATAGAATTTATGTATTTTAATTGTCCATCATCTCGTATAGAATAAAATTTTTATTTGATGATAACGATATAAAATAATTTTCAGATGTTTCTCAAATATATTATATAACGTGATAACGATGTAATGAACTCAACTCGAGTACTTCGCAAACATCTATATCATTTTTCTTTTTACTCGTCTATATCAAGACACTAACTTTTAATCTCTGCATATCAGTGTTGATCGAAAAAAATCGTTTTCTAATCAATGTTGTTTGACAGAAATAAAATAAAAAGGCACATCATATCAAACAGGCTGTAGTACATGGGAGAGAAAAGAATCAAATCTTAATATCTTGCAATCACACGTTAATATTTCGAGTTGAAATAAAGATTTAACTAATTTTTATGCATTTTCTTATATATAATTTAAACTAGTGAAGATGAAAATACGAAATTCATTTTAACAGTTATATTTAGCTTTCTCAAAACTCTTTTACAAATTAACTGACTTACCCGTTCAAGAAATAGTCATAATGTATAAAGAAATCGTCACTGATTGTATAAAAACAGAGTAAGTGACAGAAACCTATCATGAAAACTTTTTTTTTATTTATTCACCAATAAAAGAAACTGATTTTATATGAAAGAAATGTAACCAAAACAAAAATATTGTTAAAAAAGTGGGTTTTTTACTCTGATATGCCTAAAAGGTAGGTCGTGAAAAATCCTTTATTATTTTTACTTCATTATTCAAGTGGAAAATATGTTCGAATCGAAGGATTACAATGATGTAGAAAACACCATCGGTTTGTTCTGAATCAAGAAACACATCAATATTATATCAAATTATTTAAATCAAATAGAATTAATTCAAATCTTCTATATAAATTTATATGTAGAAAAAAAATTGTAAGAATATTTAAATAAAATAATATTTTTAATATTTCATTTCATCGAAAACAAAAGAAACTATTAATGTCGATTGTGATAAAAATGATAAAAGTCATCTGTTTACTCTTTCTCTCTCTCTCTGTCTGGTGCTTTGATACTCTGGATTCTTTTTGATTCTACTTTTTAGAGAAGAGTATGAGACATAGATTATATGAGGATTTCTAGGAGAAAAATGATGAGAGCTGAGCGTGTTATATATTTGTATGCTGTATGAAAAAGACTGAGAGTTTCAAAATAGTTAATTTCACCTGGTCGAATGTTTATAATGTTTTTATTTTTATGTCAATCAGTTAATTTAATACCGTCGTTCGGTATCAACACATTTGCACTCTTATCAGCTACGATACCAGTGGCATCATCATCATTTGCACCATCTTTCAGGCTCTACAGTAGTGGTGGTTAGAGCCGTAACAAATAAGCGATGTTAACATTACTTATTCACTACGGCTCTATTATCTACTATTTGATGAAAAACAAACGATGTTAAATCTGAAGGTGATTTTTATTCACTATACATACGGTTGAAATAGCATATCGTTACGATAATAAATTCCCCAGGTTATATTCAAACACGCCATCTTGTTTAAAAGAAATACGTTTGGTATTTGATTAAAGATCGAGCGTAAATAAAATATATACATCATTTATTTTGGGGCTTTTCTGGAATTTATTGAAAATTAAAAACACTCTGTCTGACAATCTTGAATGTACACGTTAATAATTTCTACTGCTCACACATGTATATGATGAAAAATCGTTTATTCAAGCTCAAAAATATAAAATATTCGATTTTTATTCAACATATCCGTATCAACAACAAATAATGCTTAGAAATATTCAGAACTTACGCTCTAAGTAACGCATAGTGGTACAATAAAAATTTGTTTATTCACAACATACATAAGCGTACTATTGTTCAACGAACAATCAGTTCCTTAAAAAAATGTATTTTCTACAGCTAAAGGAGCCGTTGACATTGTAGAAGAGCCAGTGAATAATTCTGATTCATAAACAAACGTTCATCATGTTATGCACACAATTATGATAAGTTACAATTAATTTATTCAAATTCAAAATTATGGTGCAACTTAAAAATATATTCTTTCGATTCTTGCAACGAAAAGATGAACTTAAGCAAAAATATATTCCCTAACAGATTTCATCTTTTGTTTTCAGATGGAAACGCTCATGATCTCATATGGAAGATACATCAAAGACTAGATAAGCTCGTTTTTTTGTAGTATTTAGCAGAAAAACAGACTATTGTAAAATCCAAAATTGTAAAGTTTCCTCTAGAATTCTTCATCACCGTGCTTATCTGCTGAATACTATAGCAATTCAATTTCTCTTTTTAGATATAAAAAGCGCATTTAAATATTAGGTTGAAGACAAAATTCATGTGAATAAGTATAGAAATAGCAAACGTGTTTAATGCCCATATTCGAAATCCAGTTCTGTCGGGCAGTGCAGAAGAAATGATACTCTCACTATTTTCCCCTTATCTCACGTGTCATCAGCCAATCACAGCTAAATTGTTTTTAAAACATGTGACATATTTTAACGTTAAAATGCTTTAAATAATAAAGACTCTTCTTTGGTTATCAGCCACTTTTCTGCTTAGAAATTCTATTGTGCCGAATTGTGTTCGTTCTGCCAGTTTGGGCACTTTCGTGAAACTCGTATAACTCGATCAAAAGCTAAGGCGAAAGTATAGGAAAAAACATATTTTCTACATTTTAGTGTGCATTCAACCGGGAGAAGAGAAATTTACGTCTGTAAAAAGGGATTTTTGCAGTTTGATATTTCGATGACTTGATGAGGCTTTCATATAAAATTTTCTTTATACTCTGTACAGAAAAACTTTTAGAAGATTCTTGTAGAGAATCTCCTGGTATATGTTTTAAAAATAATTTAGTTTTGAGTGGCTGATGGAACGTGAGATAAAGGCAAAATAGTGAGAGTATCGTTTCTTTTGCATCGACCGTTATGATGTGTAAACAAATAAGAATGTTGTTTAGCTAACAGCAGAGGTTATCTTTTTGTCTTTGATGTTCTATATTCTTGTTAAGATTATCAGTATCCATCGTGTCGACTAAAAATAGAATACTTTGTCGTATGTGTCGCTATCGTTAACCAATGTTTTAGTATAATCGAGCTAGTACGGCTCCTTTAACAGTGCAAAAGAGTAGGTATCAAGCTCGTTTTGTTTATTAACTCACTTAAATATAAGAAGTCGAGTGAGGTATATTTTCAGCATCATTTCTCACCTTAAAACAGCTAAATGAACGGCGTATTACTATTGATAGAACTGACACATGCAATAGACAACTACAAATCATTATCAATGAATAAAATAATTAAAACTTCAATTATTCTGGTTGACTAATGCAGTAGATTACTTTATTTCTGTTAATGATATATGAATCAAGCACATAAAAATCTGTTTACATTAGATGAAAGAAAGGGTTTGAATGTCTAATTTTACGATACAATTTAGTCCACATCTTGAAATACTAAAACTCGAAAGAAATCTTTCTATTTATTCTAAAAATATGAAAACAGAGTTGATAATTTAAGAAGTTTATTTGGAAAAACGAAAAAAATTGAACAGATCTTTAATTTGATCTAATGTTGTGATTTAACTTGTTTTTGTTTATTATCTTGTTGTGATGAACTAAGTTGTTGAGGCTGTCGTTGACCACCTTGTCCAGATCCGAGAACATCTTCAACAGTTGGATAATGACTTGTTGGTCCTATATCAATAGGAGTTACTGCTTCATCGGGTAGATGATAACTACGAGAATGAATTTTCATTTCACCGCCTTGTTCAAACCACCAACGCATCGAATCTTCTTTGTTAAAAGGAGGAACAGAGAAATCGTCTAAAAAGAAGTACATATAACACTCAAGAGATAACCATCTTCTACGGCAGAAATAGTCTCATTTTATGCGTCGTCTAAATAAATTTTATAAACATACCCAGTGAATCTCTATCTCTTCCTTTTTCCCACACTTTTGGAAACATCATGTCTGGTATGTAGAAAAATAACAGTTCGTTTGGCACTTCATCTGGATGAGGAATATCGTCACAACGTGCAAACTTAACAAAATAAAAATCGAATATAAACACAGTAACAGAGATAAATATTTAAAACTTACAGTCTTTTTTAATTCTTCGAGTTTAGATTCGGCGACTTTTATATACTCTTGTGCACGAGCTCTCTAGAAAAATAACAAAGATGTTATACTGAATCATCTTCAAAGACAATATAAGAACTTCTTCAACGTACTTCACTTTTTCCAAACTCTTCTAATTCTTGTGCACGATTTGCAAGATCTTGCGGATAGGGTACTTGTGCATTTTCATACTAAAAAATGAATAGAACAGTTATTCAGTGAAGAAATGATTTCTTACTATAAAACGAACCTCTTTTTGTAATTTGTCGACGAATGACGGATCGGGCACTAATTTTTTATAATAATTAAAATCAATTTTAGGTATTGCCTCGGGAAGAGAATTCATTCTAAAATGTAACAAAATGAAAGCTAAAATTTGTAATGAATAAAAAAATCGTATATTGCCTACTTTGAAGAGTACTGAAATGTTTTTGACTGTAAAGCAGAGACAGTCGTTGTATTTTGTCCACTTATTTCAAATAATTTATTCCAATCAACTTTTGAACGACTAAAACGTTGTAAGGCATTTTTAGCCATTTTCTGAGCCATTTTCAGCCACAAAAAGGCAAATTAAACAGATAATCTAAAATAATGAGAAAAAAAACTTGATTTTTATCACGATCGCTCAAGTGTACCATATAAGTTAAAATCTTTTGTGTAGCTCTTTTGAAATTCTAGAACGTTATCGTTGAAAGGTTTAAGATGGTTTAAACTTAAAACCTACATTTCTGTATCGTACCTCGCAAAAAATTAGTGTTAGTGTATTTAGGTTAGGCCATTCTTTACTGGACAAAACGCAAAAACACTATTTTTCCTCAAGTTCATTTTAACAGTTACAGTACATTGAAAAAGAAAAAAATGATTTTTAAGTTTGTGTAGACTGTAAAAACATGATAAAATCACTGTATCACAGTTTTAATACTTTCAAACACCATACAAATATCTCTCGTCTCACGAGCATGAATACACATGTATGAACCTAATTAAAGAGCTGATGATGAGCGCATTCAGATGAATTCGAATTCATTCTTGCAATCTGATTTATCTGCATCATCGCAAACACTATGCTAATAACTTCAAGCAAAATAATTGTGATAGGATTGTCTAGAGCAGGGTAAGGTATGGAAACTATACCGTAGACTGATCTCGTAGCGGTCCATTCAGAAAAAAGAGGAACGTTAAAAATTTTTTAAGAGGAGCGTTGGTTAAAAAAGAGAAAAAAAGGAGTTTTGGCCAAAAAACTGTACTGACAATGTTGTGTACACGTCAAAGTAGCTTAAGGTTCTCAAAGAAAAGATTTCATCCTACTTAAAGTATTTTTCCGTGTTTCACGCGTAAAAAACTGAGAAAAACACAGCAAAAAGGAGTTAGTCCACTTTTTTATGAAGTTGTGGGTGTATGAGACGAAGATGTTGGAGAAACGAAGGTGATATTTTTTTCAACCCTTTAATTTTTTTCCGGTGTTTATCTTTCTTCATATGCCTTAATATCGACTGCCATTCTTTGTTCCCACATTCTAACTCGCCCGTTTTACACAATGTACATACGAATGTTGATTCCTTAGCGCCTTGCTTTAACCATCGTCTCACAGGGACTTCATCTACTGTTTTCTGTACCCACGAGTGATTGAATTTTGTTTCATATGACGGCATAGATAAAAAAATATATCTGAAACTACTTCCAGATATATTTACGTGAATACGTGAATTCTGGGAAAATCCCAAAAAAAGAGGAAAATTAGCTCAAAAAGAGGAGAGGTCTTGGATTAAAGAGGAAAGAAGAGAAAAAGAGGAGCATTACGAACCCAGATCGTAGACTGCTAAATGAATTCACTTCATTTCTATGGATTATTGTATTTGCTTATTAAACATCAGAAAATGAGTAAAACAGCGGAAAAAGTGAGAGTTTTATATTCCAGTATCAGCTGCATCCATTTACAATAGTACTACTCTTTCATCTCGTAAATTGATAAAAAGGTGAGTCGATATAGTCAATAGAGTCAGAAAATATAGTCAGTAGAGTAATAAAAAGATCTTAATGAATATATTGTTAGCAACTGAATGACAAAACCAAGAAATTTTCTAGTGGCTTTCAAAACAAAAAGAACTATAAAGTAAATAAATCCAAAAACGTATTAAAATCTATCATTACGGCAACATGCACCATTCCTAAAATGATATTGAGATGAAACTTTGACTACAATTTTTGTTATCTACTTTTATGAATTTTCCTTTGATGCGTTATGAAACTGTATTAAAATTTTTGGTAAATAATTTGTTGTAGGGAGTGAGACTTTAATTAATGCATACGGTAAACGTATTTTTTACTATGTATTGCTCCCGACATTATATCGTTTCTCTTCTCGTTATGAGTAAATACCGACGCATTCAAGAAATTCTTTGATGCAATTTCTTCTATTCTACATCAATCGTCTGTGTCTGAATGTGTTGAATTACAATGATCTGAACTATTTCTATTTATCCGCCTGTACACAATTGTTTTTGATCTTTCACTGATGAACGAATTGTTTCAGCTTCATTTATCAAATCTTCGAGTTTATAAGTGTTGACTAAATGTTGAACAATTATCATATTCTGAAACTAACTCTAAGTTGTGCATTTTTTTCCATCAAATAATTTTGGTGTTTGTAACTCGATGTCATCGGTTGAACGCGATAATAAAATTGCAACAAAAATATCAATTTCAATAAATTACTAAATATGATCTAAAAATATAAAAAGAGAAAGAATATCAGAAAAGTCATTGTCCAATTTCATTTTAGTTTCTGTCTTTTGTTATCAAAAATCTGATCGTAATTTGTATGGTGTATAGATCTGTACGGAATCTACGTTATATTCACATTACAGAGATACAGAATGAGATAAACAACAACTTTCATAGCTCAAATTCGTAACATTTAGCTTATATAGACATTATAAATCTGACTCCTAGTCCTTAAGTATGTAAGCAATAGTCTATCTAACATCACATTTGTCAATAAAGAAAATTTTAGTTGATAAAGACTCGTTTATTATTGTCGGGACTTAATACAGTAATAACATCACTACTCAGAAAGACTAATCAATTGACATTCATCATTAGTTCTTTTCACTCAAGTAATATTCATCACTGGTGCGATGTTTCATTTGCGATTTAATTCGTTTCTGTTATAAAACATTAGAATAGTAAAACTGTGTAAATTTTATCAAACATCCGTAGCAAAAAAAAGATCACTCACTAATTACATGAAAAAAAAATACAGAGTCTGATTAGTTAGAATACCAGAAGCCAGAAAATAGAACGTTCCATGAAAATTGTTTAGGATAACAAAAAAAAAAGAGATGAGGTGGTGAAATACAATCTATCCTTCAACATCATCCGGTGGAATACCGAGTTCTTCATCTGTGAATTGAGATGGATCAGGCATATAAATATGTCCAAGAAGATATTCGGGTTCTTTCGAGAATCGATAGAAAACATACCACCACATCCAAATAACAAATACAAGTGCTGCATGATATTCCCACATAGCCGATAATTTGGCATGTGTACGATACGGCACCCAAACCGTCTTTTCACCATGATTTGGAACATACTTCCAATCGATAGGATTTTCTAAATGAAAGCAAGCAAATATGAAAAAGTAAATAAAAGTAATTATGTAGAAAACACAACGGGGGAAAAACACTTTTTTTCCACTTCCTTCTCCAAGTTATTCGTAGACGAAAGGATCCGTGCAATATGTGATTCGACCCCACTACCGTAAGGCAGTGCCTTGCGGCACGTTTCAGCACCCTAATCCGCACTAGATGCTGCTTTTTCTCCCTTGGAAAAACAGCATGATTGAAAAAGAGTTTTTACAAATATGACATGCTACGTTTAACTGCAAAATTCGACTTCGCAAAGTCTAGTCTTTTTATTCGAGTTAAAATCGCATACTTCATCTCTAGGATATGTATAAATTTTGTGATCTTTTAATGAAGCTTTAAAATACGTTTACTCTCGAAAACGTCCTCTTTCTTACCGATATTTAGACTACAATCGGGATCTTCTGATTGTCTTTCATATTTCGATTGATAATCTCGATGATGTCTCCATGTTTGTGTTTTTCTTAATTCGGGTTCGTGATGACCATGATCGTGTCCGTGTGAATTGTGTTGATGATGATGATGATCGTCAACAGGTGATGAAGAGGCGGATTTGGATACACTTGACGATGATGCAGAAAGACGAGTTTGCAAGTGTTTAGAAAATGAAGGAGAAGAAAAGATGGTTTTTAATGAACGAGAGATGTAAGAAGCACGATACATTGTCTGCTCGTTCGGGTTATGTTTTACATTAGCTACCTTTCAACTAAAAATAGAAGAAAAACAATAGATTTGAACTAATAGCGTAACTAATCAATCCCAAAGAGAAACGAGTAACTTGTACACATTCAACTGATCTATTTTTTGCGCTATTTAGACTTTTTTCATCTAAAATTTTCTTAGAATGAAACTATGTGAACTGCGACTAAAATGTTTAATTATAAATTTCATCACACCAAATTGATATACTCAACCTCTTCAATAGATAAAACTGGTGTGATATACGTAAAACCAGTTGCTCGATACAAAAGTATATCTTTTTCATGCATCGTTATAAATGTAAGTTAGTTACCTAAAAAAACATGATTTATCGATTTGCACTTTGAAATCAATAAACAAATATTTTGTTTATCTGCTTTATTACACTCCTAGGAAGTATTTAAGGAGAAAAACTTCGATACAATATGTAAAAAAATGTTCTAGAGATCAAATATTTTGATGAAGAAAAAAAGCAACCGTTAATAAGTCTGCAATGATCCAATCAAAATAAAGCACCGAAATAGTTAGAAGGTATTAGAATATTCCAAAAATAAATAAACTTTCTATAATACCCAAACAAGGGCAAGAATCTATGAAAACTGCAGGATTATCAGAAATAGTGATCTGTGAAGAGAACCATTTGTAAAACAAAAGTTCTTTGTACTGTTTTTAATCGTTAGGGTGGCGATCCTAGTTAAAATTCAAAGGATTAAGAGAAAGGAAAAAGAGCCTAAAGTTTAAACAAAAAAAAAAAATTACTTGACTAATACGTTTCAAAAGAGAAACCTTCGAAAGCTGCATAAATTATATTCCCTGCATTGGATAAGCTTACAGACATATATAACAGCATAATCTGAAGGACTTAATCTATGAACTAACAAGCGATGATTATCAACTAAACTTAGATCCATCAAGGAGAAAGCATTCAACACCAGATGTTGCTTTCTGCTCTTTTATTGAACCACACTCTTCTAACTTTATGACAAAAGAATATCAAATCATTAATAAATTATGATAGACTCCACCTTCGAAAAAAATTCTTGTTATCATGTCATCTTAAAACCTTTTAACAAAAAAAGTTATGCACTCTGCTAGTACGTTACAAAAGTTACTCTCATTTAATTTTTTATCTCAAGCGTAGATCTATTTTGCTAAGTTAAAAAACATTTAGACTATAAAAAATTTACTATGAAAAACAAAATTGAAATGCATCTAAAACAGTGCCTACTTATACACACTCTCTAGATAAGTGATAATTGGACTGTTGTATGAGAATAATATTGTTGTGAGGAGACATTATTATTATTGTTATTGTTGCATATGTCGTGGTAGAGTTCCTAATCCAATTGAATTTGAGTAGGCTTCCAATAATTTCGATGTTTGTTTTTGTGCTAGATATTGTTGTGTATCTTGAATCCAACTTTGTGCACATTGTCGCGCTTCACCACGCAACAATTGTATAAGACGTAAAGCGTTTAACCATTGATCATGATCAATATAATTTTGCACATAATTAAGAATTGAAAATGTTGATAAATGAGATAAATCAAGCGTAGTTTCATCTTCATTTTCATCATATTTTTGGGCATGACGAGGATGTATAATGAATAAACTTTGCAAATAAGAGAGGATATAAGTCATTAATGAATGATGGTTCTGATCAACCATAGACAAACGTTTACATAATGTTTTAACACGTTGAAAACGTTCACGTAAGGAATCTTCACTTGTATGTAATGCATCAGTAGAACTATTTAATTTTAATTCAGAGACAAGCACCTGCACAAAACGTTCATCGGGTACGATCTGTAAAATTGTATCTAAAATAGAAGACTAAATTTTATAAATAGATAAATAAACAAATGCAACAATTTCTACTTAACAAATTTTTCTTATGAGTAAGAACAAGATAAAAGTATTTCTACATGGAAAGAGTTTCATAAGAGACTAAGTGACATCTATTGTTCGTTGATATGTCAACTTTCATATACTAAGACTTCGTACTATGAACGAATGATAGCATTATGACTACTTTTTTTATATCTTCAATTTGTCCAGAGTATGATGATTTTCGATGTTTTTTTCAAGTTAACTATCGATTTTAATTACTATCGAAAATAATTATTTTCATTCTCTCTATTAACATCAAAGCTTACCAATATCATTGTTTAAATGTTCAGTACCCTCGCCACTAACGATTGTATTTAAAATATTTTGTGCTTGTATCCATAACTTTTGTGCTTGTTTTGCTTTTAATTCGGCATCATGATTTTGATCTATTGCTGTTTCAATGGCTTGTACACGTTGAAATGCTTGATATAATTCATGTTGAATATTTAAACGAACATTTAATGTCTCCTCATCTAATTTTTTCTCATATGTTTTTGTCCATTCATCATATTGCCTCGACAAAATATCTGACAGATATTGTGTCAATGCACTATGTTGTAAAACAATTTCTCTTTTTAATTGTTCATCAAATTGACGACGTAAAATTTCTTCATATTGTTTTAATTCTAAACTTAATTGACGAGTCGTGTCGGCTAATTTTTCTTGAACACGTTGTTCCACTATCTTAAAAAGAATAGGTCAATGAAGAAGGTTAAACTTGTTGAATTATGAACCGCTCAGATAAGATTATGATTTCAAAAATGAATCATATCTTAGTTTGAAAGAGAATTAAAATCTTTTCATTTCAATTACCGTATCAACTTCAGCTTTTGCTTTTAGTAAAGCCGCGTCAACAGTATCTTTTTCAACCGTTTTCATTTTAGAAATATCTTGATGTAATTTGGCTATTTTCTTATGTGCATGTGCCAGTAATGCTTGTAAATCTTCTTTATCTAAATTTGTTGGTGATTTTTTAGCCAAAGACGGGAACATGGTTTCGATTTCTTTTTGAAATGATTTTGTTGCATCATCAATATATGATTTAAATTTTGAGACAAATGACGACGTTTGATACGATGAATGTAATTCTTTGAATTTTCCTTCGATTTGTTCTTCTAAATCTTTCATATCTTTTGACAATTTGTTATATACATCTTTTGATGTTTGCTTTGTATCGGAACCATATTTTTCTAACTTAGTACCTAAACATAAATCATAAAAATTACATTGACAAATGAGAACAAAAGCTATGTAGTTAAAAGGAATGTACGAAAGAGTTTAAGAAATTTCCAATCATTGAGAAGAAGAATCGATTACGCTATGATCATTACAAACAACCGCGTCACTATACTCCATTCGATAAATATGAAAAAACAAATATCTGAGATCGACGATTCTTCAGGTTCATGCAGCATTCGATAATTGCAAAACAAACAGAACTTACCATATTCTTTTGATTGTTTTTTCCATGAATCTATATCTGATATTGTCTTATCATACGCCGATGAAGCTTGTTTTTGTAATTCTTCACCTTTTTTCCAAACATCATCACTGACCTCTTCCACTTTTTTCTCCATAACTTGCTTCATATGTTTTGTATGCTCTTGAACTGATGCAAGTGTTTTTTCTGCTGATTTTGTAATTTCATGACTCGAATCTTTAATTGTATCATACATTTTATTCAACTCTTCCTCCAATCTAACAAATAAAAAAAATAATCAATTATTCACTGATTAGTATATTTTACAGTAATGTAGTTTTCCTTCGACATACTTTTTATAATTTTCGACAGTTATAGGTGGGGGTGCTAACGGTACACCAGGTTCTTCTATAAACATTGGATCGGCCATTTTTGCTGGTTTTTCTCCTGATGTTCCCTTTGTTTTCGGTAGATCTTTGACGGTCGTTGCAGCTGATTCAATTTTATCTTTTGCTGTTGATACCGTATTTGTAATGGTTTTTTGAGCGGATGATAAATTATCTTTAACGGTTTTATAATCAGGTAATTTATCTTTGACAGTTGTTACTGTATCTGTAATAGTTTTCTGAGCTGATGATAAAGTATCTTTTGCTGTTTTCGCATCCGGTACTTTCTCTTTGACATAAGCTAAATCAGGTAATTTTTCATTAATTCGTGTTGTTATGCTTTTATTGCGTCCAGTTAATGGATCGACGATTTGATCAACACCGGATAGGATTTGACTAGAAAACGGAACGGAATTTTCTAAACTTCGACGAAATTTTGAATCATATTCTGCATAGGCTATTACACCAGTTGTTGCCGTTAATAAAGTAATGGCAGTCCATTTTAATGCACCACTTCCACTTGAACTTCCTTGGCTAGACCCACTTGAATAAGTACCAGATGCTGTTCCTGAACCTAAAACAGTTAAAATTAACATTATTTCAGTAGTTAATAAATATAGGATGATGCAGAATGACTGTACAATAGCTCTCTGCATAAAACTAAAAGTTCATTTTCAAACAATGCTAACGTCAAGAATAAATTAACTTTTATGAACAATTTATAAAAGAATTCAATATGTTGAAAGAAATACTGTATACTGATAGACAATACAGTTTTTCAATCGCATTTTTCATATTCATTTTGTATTCTTACACAAATCTAATAGGAAAAATCTTTTTACAGCAATAGAATTTGAACAGTAAGACTGAAAAATACTATATACACGAGTAAAAGCGATTATTTTTTGTGTAAAACACTTACTTGTACCAGTTCTGTACGCTCCTGATCCAGTTGTCGATGATGTTCCACCCAACGGATTGTTACTACTTCCACTAGTACTATATGTTGTACTTGCAGCATTAGTTGGTTTGATTGTGCTTGTTGAAGCAGCTGGCGTCGTTGGTCTATTAGTGCTCAGATTACCGCTGCTACTGCTAGCACTCGAAGTAGTTGTCGTTGACGAGGAAGATGGAGTGGTTGTAGCATGTCGAATCAAAGCAAGTGTTGTTGTTCGAGGACAAATATGGTTTAAAGGATATACACGAAGCATGATTGAAGATAAAACCTAACTATCTAAAATGGATAGAAAAATGACTGAATTGATAGATTGAGAATTTTTTGCTTTTTCATGAACCTAACTGGAAAAAAAAGCATTTTCTATTACTCATCTACTGATAAATGTTGAATCAGCAGTGGATGAGAAATATATATAACTAGTTCACGTACTCAGTCACGATACAGCAGAAAGCCCAATTCTTCTCTCAGAGGTCTTCGATGAGTAGGAGAACAAGAAGATGAAACGAAATAGAGTGAGTTCTTTGTTAAGGAGCGTCAATTATGGAACTTCATAATTGAAAAAATAAACAAAACTGAGTAGTAATGGTGGTTCATATATTTTGCAAACGTCCCTAAGTGTGCTGTAAATTTTCTTCATTTAGTAATCAACGACTACACTACTCATTTATACTAAATAGAATTTTTGATGATTGGCGATACAAGTAGAAGAAATCTCACTCTACATGTTTGTTCTAGTTGTTAACATAAAGTTTATCTTTGTTTTACCCCAGCTTAAGAACCTGAAAAGTAATAAACCAACTCGATTGTCGCAGTTGAACTAGGTATTACTTGTAGGTGATGCTTTACAGGTTGTATTTAGAAAACTGCACGATGAACATTTGCGCAGCGGCGACTTTGTTTTAGGGCAAAGTTCAAAATTATAATGTGGTTCTAGTTCTTATTAGAAGCGCTTGCGCTGAATGATCTTACTATGTGTTTTAATGTGATAATAAAACTTGCTTGGACCAGTTCATATTTATTTATAGAAAACTTTTGATTACGAGAAGACGCCTGAAACCACGTTTAAATGCACATTCAATTTGGTTTCTTCCAAATTTGATTCGTTGCGTGTGCAAAATATTTTAAAACTAAACCACATCAGTCAGATTTAGCAGAAACCAAGCTTAAATGAGACGGGATGAGAGAATAGTTTAGGTTTCATTGTGTCGCCCTTTAAACCGCTTAACCACAATAAATGGAAGGAAACAAATTGAATCAATTTGAATGCATCTAATTTATGTCTTCGGCCATCTTCCTTTTTTTAATCCAAGACCTTCTCTATGTTGGCGATGTCACCAGAGGAAACATTATACTGGTGAGTGAAGCTGATATTTTTTATTTTCGAACGGGAGTTTACTGTTCGATTCTACTATGAATGCAAAAAGACAGATTCTATCGATGTACTTCATTTTTTTCATCTATATAAGAATTGAGCGACAGGTGGCGTCTGACTCAAAGTAGTTCAGTGAGGAAAATACGATGACGTGTAGTACAAAAATAAGTTTTTGAATAAACAGCCGTCTAGTCTAACGGAACGGATGGTGTATATATTCAAATATCAAATCAAGTTCAGCGAAAACGGTATGGTTATATTTGATATTGATGGCATCTGCAATATTATTGATATCGGTTAATATGTATAATGTAACAACGGCAACATCTATTTACTGAATTTTTTCATACAAAATCAGCTCATGAAAATCAACAATCCAAAGAATCTCTTGTTTATTTATCCTCACTTAGCTGAAACTTCCAAAATAAGTAAAGGTTAACATTAGCCGGCTTGACCACCAACTGTCGCGCTTCATCCGCGGCGTGATGCCGCTATCGTGCCCATAATCGTTATGGATTCGCGCATGTCTCGTCGCGACCATGGTGGAGACCGCAGTCGCTTCACGATCGTGGCTGACTCACGGTGTAGTGGCACGATCTTGGATAACGTTTTATAATGTTTTTTTTTAAAATATTGTCCTTGGCTCCTGCTAAGAGTTTTTGTCACGCCGAGATCATGGACTGGTTTACAGTTTCACAAGGAGTCGTTACGTATTATCCCGACGCGACTGAACTCCCAAAACTATTCCGAGAAACGCGAGTAAATCTGCAGTCGCACTCCAGAGCTCATTCGCCGTTTTGTTTTGCAGTCGAACTTTTTAAAAAAAAAGAAAGAAACATTAGAAACTTTACGCATTGTCCAGAACTTTAATTTTCACACAGAGAGTCGTGTTTGAAAGAGCGGCTTTTCTGAGAGTCACTAATCCTAGGAATATTTGACAATAAAAAAATATTTTCGGGGTTCTTGCCCCGAACAGTGTGAGTCACGGCGCGCGCACCACGACGGGTGCCTGGAACAGGCTGTTTTTCGCGAAGTCGCTATAAGAATAGCGACTGGACCAAGAGTCACGGCGCGAGTGTGAGAGTACGCTCAAAGCTATCGTGGCTCTTGCCACGAGTGTAAGAGTCCGGCCATGAGTGACCGCAAAGTTAGATGCAAGAAGCTGATGGCGAGAAAACCGTAATCTCGAATCCCGACTCTTATTGTGTGAGTCTTACTGCGGTCACGGGACACGATCTTTTAGCGCGAGTCATGCCGCAACTTCAGCGGGAAAGTTGACTTGAAATGAGACTAAACTTTGAAAATTTCAAGAAAATTAGTGAGGATTATCTATGAGTCTGTATGATGCAGACTGTGTAGTGGCCATAGGAGCCCTGCCTCGACTTTGTTTAGTATCATGGCTGTAAGAACAACATGGTTTTGAAATTTATTGAAAAAAATTGGCGCGAGTTATTTATTGAGCATGTGAATGGAATCTGAACCTCAAATAGAAGTGAATAAATTTGATGTCTTTTTATGTTCTCTCGTGAATAAATTTTTGTTCGTTTTTTTTCTTATTCAGCTTCTCCTTCGTGTTATGCATTGAGCTGAACGATTCTGGAAGATAGTAGCATGAAAAATGTTTTGCATCAGATTTAATGCAACCTCAGAATAAGTTTCTTACTGTACATCAAAGTGTATTTATTTCATTTCTTTTCCAAACTTGATTTAGAGTATGTATTGTTACATGTTATTAATTGTGTACCAAGCATTAGATATTGAAACATAATCAATTATACTTAAACGTTGATTTTTCTTAAAAAATCACAAAGAAAACACAAAACAAAATATTTTTATGTATATACACACATTTTATAATACTAATAGAAATAAACACATATGGTATAAAAAATGCAGTATGATATAATAAAATCTTCCTACAATAGGGCAGCTGATCATAAACGAAATCGATTATGTATTATTAAACATCAGTACCCGCCTCCATCAATGGTATTTTTGCTCGATAATTTAATAGAATAACTTTGGTTGTTAAATCACCAGTTTGAAATTTTTCAATCATCGCATCATGCACATTTTTACCATTATTATCTTCATCCGATGATGAAAAATCGTACTGTTTTTTAGTTTTACAATTTTTTTTATGCTTTTCACTCTTTATCCTCCGTCTTTCTCGATGATAAATAATAAATGATAGAAAAATAGAAAGAATTAGAATTAATAGAATTATGAGCCATATTTTAATTAAACGATAATTTGACTGTTTCAATATTATTTTTCCATTATTATTGTCATCATGAGAAGATAAAATAGATGGTGGAATTTGTATTGTTGTATCTTTCAAATAGAATGATTGAATATTTGTTCCATTTATTGATGTTAATGTTTTTAAATTAATTAATGTAAATTTTACTAGAATATACCATCGACCGTAGTTATTTCCAAGTAAAAGAGTGTTTAATTTTAATGTATCATAGATTAAATCCGTATTTAACGTTAATGAATAATTATAAAATTGTTGTATTATTAATCGATTGTTATAATCACATTCAACTCTTTTTAATATTTGACATAAATTAATTTCATATATTTTTAATTTCATATATTTTTTATCTAATAATGTAGTGTTCCATAGAAGAATACCAACAATTTCATCTTGTGAAGAATATTCATTAATTTGAAGATTTAAAATATTAAATGGAATGGATAGTGTAACAGGAAATGGTAATGTTAGAATGAAAGATGTGCCAATGGAAGATGCGGAATTGAAAAGTGGTGAAATTGTTTCTAATTGAAATTGTATAGGATATTGTATACATTTATCAGAAGAACATAATTCAAAGAGATAAAAACCAGAGTAATCAAAATTTATTTCATTTGATTGAATGTGCCATGTTGTTGTGTTTGGTAACAATTGAACAATAAATGACAATGTTCGATTCGAAGATAATAATTGTGGTTGAAGCTATAGTTTGTTTTTTTTTTCAAAAATAAAAGAAAGATTAAAATAAGAGTCACAAAATTAAAAAAGATAAAAAGAAAAATCAAATTTACTTTGTATTGTAATAACTCAAACGGTTTTGTTAAATTGATAGTGATAAAATAGTGTAATACACCATTTGAGTCAATATGAATATTTGATAATTGAAATTGTTTTATTGAATATTTTGATGTTGATAATGTTTTATATTTGAGTGGAATTCTAAGAGTATAACGTTGTAGACTAGTAGTAGAATTAATTCCTACATATTGATAATAAAATGGTAGCTCAATGGAATAAGATTTATTTTTTGAAATTAATATTCGAGTATGACAATTATTGATAAGATCATCAAGTGTGAATAATGCTTGAAAATTCCATTTACAAGTAACATTGACTATTGATGACGATGGAATTGGTTTTTTACAATGTTGTTGAGTATTTAAATAAGATCGATTATTAAAGTCAATAGTAGATGTTAATGCTAACATTGGATATGTTCCGTGTATGTGAGGAATTTCAACTGATAATTGAACAAATGTTTCAAATTGACCAGGTAATGTGACAAATATAAGTGATGAGCGAATATGAGGAGGAGGACATTGAAGTATAGTATCATCAATTGTAATGATAGAACTTTGAAGTGGAATTGAATATTTATCTGTATATATTAGACAGCGTATCCGATATTTAGGACCAAAATAGAACGTATTCAATATTGACGTATTTGTAGAAAACATTTTATGTTTGGATAGACGTCGAAATAATGAGTGTGTATCATAATTTTCATGTGGCATAGATAATTCCCATTGATAAGAAAGAATTTCAGATTTTGAATGAACACAAAAAAAACGTATAAATTTGTAACTGGGATGTCGTGGATTACATGCCTAAAATAAAACAAAAACAAGAAGGCATACATGGTGTGATTATTTAATTTTTTACAAATGATTATTAATTTACCGAAACACACATTAATGGTTGACCATAAGTTAATATTTGTTGATGTGAATTTTTTTTATCGTCTAATAACATGATAATTGGTAATATTTCAAATTGTTCATTGTATATCATGTTTTTATTTAGTTGAAGATGATATGCATCGCTAATATAATCGGATTTTTTAACTCGATCATCATTCTCCATATTATCAATACATATTTCAACTGATTGAATTTGTATAATAAAATTAAATAATTTTTGATCTTTTGTTCGATTTAAATTATAAATAATGTCAATATCTACATTGATTAATTTTATATTTGGTTTAAAAATTAAATATTTATTAATTGGTATATAATCGATAGCAGCCAAAGCTGTTCCATCTTTTGTTTGTACAAATAGTTCAACGGATCGTTTTAAATCACCTTTTCTCTCAATTCTTACAGTTGCTTTAGTAACAGTATCTATTATTGTTGGTGCTTGAATACAAGAATTATTGTTATATTTTAATTCAAATGTTGTTAAATCATCATTATCATTTTCAATTTGAACTATTGTTTTTTTATATCGGCCAAGTATTGCTGAATTTGCATCAGCAAGTAGTACTTGAAAATACTCCATCGACTCAGCAATTTGATCATTAATCAATTCAATACGACACAGTTTCATCTTGAAATAGAAGAAAAATTTGCGAGAGTTAAAAATGCAGAAAATGCTTTTTCGGTATGGACTCAGTACTTTGATTTAGATTACTCATCTGAACACTCATTTATAGAAAAATGTATTTCTGCTCAACATAAGATCATTTTTAGCATCACCAATGATTAATTCATCAAAATATATTCGGTAACTTTTTTTTATCTTGGTATACGAAAAACCTTTTTATCAGTCAAGTTTCTCTAGTTGGCTACAGAAACCTCAGCAAAGCTAAAAAATATCTTAATATTTTTAGAGAGAACATTTTTTCAACAATCTGAAGGTGTATGAGAATTCAAGAACTGCATCAGAATTTCGAGATAACATTTCCAAGAAATAAAATACGATAGTTCTGGATGTTATTGAAACTGGTAGAATTTCTTTAGAGAAATTCGAAGCACAGGAGGGAATTCTAGAAATAGTCTGGAATTCACGACAATATAAAAGCGAAAAAACCTTCTTACGAAAATGGCAATGTCAGAATGACTTTTAGCCTATCCCGTACGAAACTTTTACAAATCAAAAAATATTCCTTCGCTAGTTAGGTGTTCGACTGATCTTGTAAGTTTACCTGTTCTCCAATTTGAAAGTGGATTCTTGACGAATTATTCAACGGTCGTCCAATATAATCTTGATTTTGTGTTGCTGTTGCTGATTTTGTAAAACAAATGACCGATGATTGTACAAAGACATTACCTTTACGTTGAATCGGAACAAATACCATTGAACTATTTTCTTTTACAATAATTGGTTTTACTTTTCCAAATTCAATTATTGATTCTATGTTAAGAGAGAGAAAAAGAGAAATTAAGTCGTAATCTTGATAATAAATAAAAAAAGATGACTTTAACTTACGATTAATGTTTATAAATCTATCGATTATATTAATCACTACTCGATCTGGGTTTATAAGACTACAATCATTGCTTGAATCATACAATAATACATCGAATGAACGCGTGGAATGATGATTTCTGTGGATAATTGGTATTGTACATGTCTAGATAAAGAGAGAAATAAAATTTTATGCTTTTACAGATAAATTAATTATATACTATTTATTATGACATATTTAAACTTTCATCATCATAGATATTCATTAGATATATATATATGTCTATGCTTTTTTTTTATTCAGTACCCATGCCAATGCTCATCGAAAAATATTTAAAAACCCGTTCTCATGGATATGATCGCGAATGTTAACTGCAGTTAACATGAATAAAGTTTGCATGAAAACTCAAGTGTTCGATCATACTCTATCGCCACCATCATCAGACGGTTCTGATATGAACAAAAATCAGTGTCATAACTATAAGAGGAGGGCATTGGGTCATGGCCTAATTGCGATTTGAGTCTGAACCTAATAAGATCATTGAACTTTGTGATTTCCCGAGCTGGAAATTTGAAAAAAGCCGTTTTGGTCCAGTCTCTTCTCAAATTACCATAATGTGGCTCAGTCATGTTTTTCGAATTAGCGGAGTTGGCTGAACGGTAAAAAAATCCTAGTTATGTCAGTGGCAAAAACATTCTGTTTTATATATATTCTCCTTTCGTCTTTCTAATCAAAATTCTCGTGGCAAATTTTGCTGCTTTTTTGCAAAACATAATGATCTTATCCATGTCCATATGTAGGGGACTGAGCATGTCTGTAGAATGCAAACATTTAATGTTCCTATTATATGGTCAAATTAAAAGTATATATTTCTAAAGTTACTGTACTTGTATTTGTTCATTTGAATTGAATCTAATATTTCTTGATATTGGTGTATAGTCAATAAATGGTTTTGCTTTCCTCGATCGGATAGTGGTACATTTAATTGCCAAGGATTTTGAAATATTTGTCATCATACGATTAATTTGTATTTGTACGAAACCAATATCGCTGTTTACATTTTTAATTATTGTCTGACATTCAAATCTATTTGACATATCTAAAATTATAGATACGAAATTGATTCTAGTTAGATATCAAAAGTTTTTTCATACTCTGTGGAATATTGAAGACAACAAACGTCGTTCCTTTTCGACCAATTCTAATATTATCCGAATATGTTGATAAACGTACGAGAAATGACTGAGTTATTTTTGAATAAAAATTATTTTTACGTAAGTCTATATTACAAAATCCAAAATGTTGTTCATTTGTTGAGTTTAATGATACTCTGACTAATATTGCTGGTGAACGAATTGGTGATACTAAAGAATTACCAGTATATTGTTGTTCAGTATAACAATAGAAAATTGCTTCTGCCTGAGAGTGATCACTGGGATGATGATGACGATGAACAATAATTGGTATCGACAGTAATTTCATTTCATCGGTAATATAGATCATGTCATCGTCGAATTCAACAACTAAATCTAGAAATACAACAATTTATTAATTAGAATTCTTATAAGTTTGTTTCATTTGACTAATTTTATTAACTAACTTCAACTTTCAAATGATGAACATGTAAAAACGCGTTTGAGTACATACCATTTTGCACAAAATTAATTTCTATGGGTTTATTATTCGACATTGTATAATTCCAATCTACCAAATCGACATAAAACGCTGACATTTTATTTTTCATATGTAAATTCAATATAATTGTACATATTTTTATTGACTCTCCAACATCAAATATAAGACGTTCATTATACAAATAGTTAAATGTATCTAAATCCGAGGAAATGATGTTTGAACGTGTACGACATGTAATCATACTGGACTAGAAGAAAATGAGATATAACTAAAAAAACTGACCATTTTATGTCAATTGATGTTACCTGTTTTAAACTTCCGATTTTTATGACAGGAATGTGAATTTTAGTTTCAATATTCGTCACATTCATATGAGATTTAGTAAATACTGTCATTGACCATTCGATTACAAATCGTCGTTTTTTCTCTTCTTCATTTTCAAGAATAAATTCAAACCAATCGAACATATCAAAGCAAATTTCATAGTTTTTATTTACTACATAGGAAATTTTGTCATCTAAAATTTGGAAATTAATTGAGAATATCGGGTATTTGGGTTTAGAACAAAAAAATTTACTTTTGGTAAATGTCTCAATATCGTTTTGTTCATCATCAACTAAACGTCCACATTTTGGTTTTGTAACTATATCAAATCTATTAACAAAATCTAAATCAACTATTCCAAGATCTTCATTTGAAATTAGACGTCCAAATGTATTTGGAGACAATTGTATAAAAAAACTAATACCAATTGGTTGTTGATTTGACTGCACTAATACATTTTTCTCATCATTTTGAATGGAAATAATTATTTTCTAAGACAAATAAAAACTATAGTGTACTTTACTAGTACAGAAAAATGATATGTAAAAAAGTGTGGTACTCTTTTTTTGTTTTTTGAGTGAATTATATTATAAAAACTGATCTTAAGAGAGAATATTCTCAACTATTCGTTCACTTTCTTCTTGGAATCTAATTGATTAAGGTGACGTTTGATACTGACCACGACGAATATGTTATCCATTTCGGTTGATGCAATTTTTCTAAAAACTACCAACAAAGTTTTCATTAAACCATTGAAAATCTTCTACTATACAAAAAGCTGTAAGTTATACTTCTGTAAGAAATCGGACAGTTAACTTTCTATGATTCAACAAGAATTTGGGCGATCATTTTTAAGAAAAGCTTTTTCTACAGGTAACCTTGATGAGATCAGATTTCGTTCACCATCAAATTTAGAGAGAGCCACCAAAGAACAGTTTTTCAGAGACCTGCGTGAAAAAGCAACATTAGTCGAAATGGATAACATATTTGTGGTCAGCATCAGATTTAACCTATAATCAAGGGGGTTGACGGAAAACGTCGAATGGAAAAACATCGAAAAGGAAAATGTTGATAAAAAAAGAGGCAAACATCGAAAAGGAGAAGATTCCCTTCTGTTCCATAAAAATAACCGAAAGAGATACTTTATTAAATCACATAGAGAAAGAAAGTAGAAGAGGAATGATAAGACCAATAGATCTTGATCTAATTTTCGTCTATCCGGATCAACAAGGATAATCTAGCCAACAGCTGTTTTACATTGATTCAGAAATCATCCATTGAGCGTGTCAAATCATTTTTGAAATGCTGCTGTATTTCCTGATTGCTTTGGAGCCGATGCTCCTGCACCAAGTTGCTGGGATGAGGGTGAGGTATTCATCGTAGCAAGCATACTGAACTTCATCATACTTTACTTTTCAATGAGTGACTATAATTGCTACGAGTTTGGGGAAGGCGTACTAGTCTAACGAGAATCAATAATGGTTCTAATGATAAAAATACG